TCATACTCCTCCTCCTACTAATATTAATAATAGAAATAATATCTAAAGGTTATAGAGAAATACTACCATGTACTACTTTCAATCTTTCAGCAAAGTACCTGATTTGATCCTCACAAAAAGCATACTCAGTAGGCATTATCTTTCTCCCCATTTTGGAGGCAAGGAAATTGACAAAGAGAAACGTTTTGTAAATTACTCCTGACTCTGCTGGTAGCCATTATAGTAGACTGTCTCTCTATGTGTTTCATAAAAGATATTTAAAAAAAAAAAAACCATCAAAGGACTTCCCTGATGGTCCAGTGGTTAAGACTCTGCACTTCCACTGCAGGGGGCATGGGTTCGATTCCTGGTTGGGGAGATAAGATCCTGAGTGCCACAGGGTGTGGCCAAAAAAAAGATAAGAAAATAAGAAAGAAACCATCAGGCACAACTGGAGGCCCTGACCTCAGAATTTAGAAACAACCAAGTAAAACACAGCCGGTTCAGGGTTTGTCTTGAACAAAGTAAATGCTGTGTCTCTGTTTTGTTCCTTGTGTTTTGTAATTAAATGTGAAAATACTACTATGTGCTTTGAAAATTAAATGACTTCATACATACTGAGACCTTAACCCAGTGACTGGCACATAAGAAGAATACAGTACATATCAGCTACGACACTTATCATTGTAATTCCTTGTGGCACAACCCTGCAAACTCACCTCTTGCTGGGAAGAACCTGAGTAAGGCAACTATAGACTCTTCCTGTTACTGAGGTCAGGTAAGTTTCTGTAACTGACGACACCCTCCTTCCTCAGCTGTCTCCAATTTCCCCTCCTTGAATGAACTGAAGCAGACAGAAACGTCTGGGCTTTACCTCCCACTGGTTGATACTGTTGTTGCTATCAGTTCACTTCAGTTGCTCAGTTGTGTCTGACTCTTTGCAACTGCATGGACTGCACCAAAACAGGCTTCCCTGCCCATCACCAACTCCTGGAACTTGCTCAAATTCATGTCCGTCAAGTCGGTCATGCCAACCAACCATCTCGTCCTCTGTCATCCCCTTCTCCTCCTGCCTTCAATCTTTCCCAGCATCGGGGTCTTTTCCAATGAGTCACTTCTTCCCATCAGGTGGCCAAAGTATTGGAGCTTCAGCTTCAGCATCAGTCCTTCCAATGAATATTCAGGACTGATTTCCTTTAGGATTGACTGGTTTGATCTCTTTGCTGTCCAAGAGATTCTCAAGAGCCTTCTCCAACACCATGGTTCAAAGGCATCAGTTTTTCAGTGCTCAGGTTTCTTTACAGTCCAACTCTCACATCCATACATGACTACTGGAAAAAGCGGAGCTTTGAAGTAGATGGGCTTTTGCCCGCAAAGTAATGTCTCTGCTTTTTAATATGCAGTCTAGGTTGGTCATAGCTTTTCTTCCAAGGAGCAAGCGTCTTTTAATTTCATGGCTGCAGTGATTTTGGAGCCCAAAAAGATAAGTCTGTTACTGTTTCCATTGTTTCCCCATCTACTTGCCATGAAGTGAAAGCATGATCTTCCTTTTTTGAGTGTTGAGTTTCAAGCCAGGTTTTTCACTCTCCTCTTTCACTTTCATCAAGAGGCTCTTTAGTTCCTGTTCACTTTCAGCCATAGAGGTGGTGTCATCTGCATATCTGAGATTATTGATATTTCTCCTGGCAATCTTGATTCCAGCTTGTGATTCATCCAGCCTGGCATTTCACATGATATACTCTGCATATAAGTTAAATAAGCAAGGTGACAATCTACAACCTTCATGTACCCCTTTACCAATTTGGAACCAGTTCATTGTTCAACATCAGGTTCTAATTGTTGCTTCTTGACCCACATACACATTTCTCAGGAGGCAGGTAAGGTGGTCTGATATTCCCATCTCTTGAAGAATTTTCCACAGTTTGATATGATCCGCACAGTCAAAGGCTTTGGTGTAGCCAGTAGAGCAGAAGTAAATGTTTGTCTGGAATCCTCTTGCTTTTTGTATGATCCAACGGATGTCAGCAGTTTGACCTCTAGTTCGTCTGCCTTTTCTAAATCCAGCTTGAACATCTGGAGGTTCTCGGTTCACATACTGTTGAAGCCTAACTTGGGGAATTTTGAGAAATACATTGCTAGCATGTGAGGTGAGTGCAACTGAGTGGTAGTTGGAACATTCTTTTGCATTGCCTTTCTTTGAGATTGGAATGAAAGCTGAGCTTTTCCAGTCCTGGGCCACTGCTGAGTTTTCCATTTTGCTGGCACATTGAGTGCAGCACTTTCACAGCATCATCTTCAGGATTTAAAATAGCTGTTGCCATAGCAGCACTCAAACTTTCCTTCTGAAAACCCTGGGGAACAGGGACTCGTAGACTTCTTCCGAGGCTTCTGCCACAGCTGCTTGCAGGTTGGATGGCCACTCAGGTATTTATTTACTTACTTTTCATTGAAGGATAATTGCTTTACAGTATTCTGTTGGTTTCTGCCCAACATCAACATAAATCAGCCACAGGTGTACACATGTCCCCTCCCTCTTGTATTTCCCTCCCACCTCCCTCCCCATCCCACCCCTCTAGGTTGTTACAACGCCTTCATTTGAGTTCCCTGAGTCACACCGCCAATTCCCATTGGCTGTCTATTTCCCATATGCTAATGTATGGTTCCATGTTCCTGTCTCCATGCATCCTACCTTCACTAAGGCATTGAGGGTTAGTAAGGGAGGACTCCTCAAAAGTCATCTGCAGGGGTTCTCCCCATTCATCACCCAGACCCCAAACTGGACCACGCCCCTGACTTCACACCCATTCTGCCAAATAGCCTCTCATCAGGAAGGTCAAGGGAGAAAAGGAACTAGGAAAGCACAGGGCGTGCTGCTGTGCTAAGTCGATTCAGTCGTGTCCAACTCCCTGTGACCCGATGGACTGTAGCCCAGCAGGCTCCTCTGTCCATGGGGTTCTCCAGGCAAGAATACTGGAGTGGGTTGCCATGCCTTCCTCCAGGGGACCTTCCCGAGCCTGAGATGGAACCCCAGTCTCTTATGTCTCTGGGAGAGTTCTTTACCCCTAGCACCACCTGGGAAAGGCCCTTAGGAGAGAGGGGATAAAGAATGATTTTCCTCACTCATATGTGAGAATAAAATCCCATCCTTTTCCTTCTCATGTTGGAGCCTGGGGCTCCATGAGGGAGTTCTACATAGGACCTGTCCATAAATGAACACCCTGCCTCCTTGGCTTGGCCTTAGACATCTTGGATTTGGCTCCAAGTCAATTCATCAAAAGCCATCCTTTTACCAAAAGTCAATGCACAATGACCAAATGAACAAGTGGGTCATTTTTGCAGGATTAAGTTACTATATGAGTAATGTGCCAGAGCTTACCAAACTTACCGACTTACCAAAAACTTTATTGTGGTTCTATGTATTCATTTCAGCTTGTTGTTACTTAGCATACAAAAATGCACCTATTTAATGTATATATTTTGACAAGTTTGTACATATATACAAAACCATGATACCATCACAGTGCTGTTATTTGTTTTAAGAGAAGAAATAATCTGGATTTTTAAAAACATTCTATTCATTTGTTTGTCTGCACTGGGTCTTTGTTGCGGCAGAAGAGATCTTCCATCCTCATTGCGGTATGTGGGCTCTTAGTTGCAGCATGTGAACCCTTAGTTGCTGTGTGTGGCATCCAGCTCCTTGACCAGGATTCCAGCCCGGGCCCCCAGCACTGGGAGTGCAGAGTCCCAGCCACTGAACCACCAGGGAAGTCCCAGTGCTGTTATTTTTAAATCCAGAGTTTACTGGGGTTTTCTTTGGGCACAGTGACCTGTCCAAGGGCTGGGGAGAGCCAGCTGCATCAGGTTCTGTGCCTGGACGCTCCCCGTCCCCATTCTTTAGTCCCTCCTTCCTCTGGGATAGGCAAGTGCAAACGACTCTCTTCCTCTGCCAGCAAATGTACCCGTCCTCCACCCCAGCCCCCGGCCACAAGGGGAACTTGGCTGAGGGCCTTCTCCTTCTCCTCACCCTTTCCTGGGTGGTTTCTACCTGGGAATTCCATTGGAAGAAGAAAGGCAAGGTCTTCCTGCTTCTATTAAATAACTTGATTATCCCGCATCAGTGCTCAGGGCCCACGCCTCCTGGCTCCAGGCAGCACCCAACCAAGAGCCTCCTCTGCGGTGTTCAATTAGCTGGAAGCCGGGTTCTCCCCAGGATGTTGAAGGTGACATGATACATCTGAAGGCCACATGATCAGCTCTGATCTGGGGAAGGAGGGCTAAGGTTTCCACTTCTGGGGAGGGGTGGGAGAGGGGAAACGTCTCACGCTGGCCTAGACAGAGTCTCCTCTTGCATTTCCTCTGCAGAGCCAGGAACGCCCCCTCCCATAGAGTGGTTTCTGTCTGCACCCCCGCCCCACCCCGCATCCCCTCCACAAAAGGGAAGGCGGTGAACAGAACTGGGAGAGAACCAGATGAACACCCAGCTCCCTCTCCTCCATAAGCCCTAAGAGCTGCCCCTGTAGAAGTGGCCCTGGGGTCTTGGCCTCTGACCTCATCACCACGAATGTGCCTCAGGCCTGCCTTGGCACACACTGTCGTTCCTCGGAGACTCACGCCACCCATCGTGCACATTGGTGGTCCCCATGGGGCAGGGTGGGGGGAGGATGGGTGTTGGAGATGAGGGTGGAAGAGAATGGATGGGTCTGTGTACACCCCTCCTGGGCACCTGGGAAACTTTGGAGATGTGTGTGGCCTACTGATGGTGAGTGTGGCTCAGCCGTTTCCATCAGACGCACTAACCCCATGTGACAGACAGGACAAATGTGCAGAGATTTCACAACTTTATTGAAAACACAGAAAACGTGCCCTAAAATAGTGGGTCACTGACTCGGCACATGTATGTAACACACTTGGCAGGCACTTGGCAGGCACGGTATGCTTGATGATGAGGTATCAGAACTTCAATCTGGCTCAAAGGCACTTTCGACAAAGCTGTCATGGAGACCACTCAAGAGGAAACAGGGCTACAGAAAGGCCACCGGTGATAGGGGACCAGGCAAGGCCACGTGAGGGCAGCCGGAGTGAATGGAGGGTGGTAGAATCCAGGGCAGAGGCAGAAACAGAGGGGGTAACGGTGACATGGGCAGGAAGGCCAGCATGGGGGGCATGGGCGGCATGGGCGTCAGCTCCAGGGGCATCGGCTCCAGGGGCATCGGCTCCAGGGGCATCGGCTCCAGAAGGACCCAGACCCAATTCGGCTCCTGAATGAGGGTGGTGTTGCCGGGTCCGCCCCAGTTGCTGACCACAGGGTGGGCCAGGTGCAGAGCGGGCGCATCTCTGATCCTCAGTGCTCTCCGACATTTCCTCCAGTTGGTCCTTCTACGCTTAAACCACACCTCCAGTCAGAGAGAAAATGGGGCTGCATTAGTACATGAAGCAGTTAATGTCAGACAGAAAAAAAAAAAGGAGCAGGGAAGTCTTGGTGACTTGAGGATGGGAAACTGCACCAGGAGAAGCTATTTCCTTCCGGTTAAAATTTTTTAGGACGTTTACTTAAAGGGCCTCCCATCAGCCCCCCACCCCCCACCCCAGCAAGTGAGCACTGATGACGTGCCTGGCTCTCGACTGGCTTATGGCCTTGTTTCTCCTCCCACCTATTACTATTCCTGCCACTAACCCCACTCCCTGGGCAGGTGCACCTTCGTGATGGGAGAAGTTGAGCTCAGGATAAAGTGGGTGCCTTTGAAAATCACACCAAGAGGAACGGGACCCATTTTGAACGGCCCATCGTTGGTTCACAGTAAATAATCAGTAGGCGCGGGCTGGATTTGTAAATAAAAGCTGTCCTCAGGGACCGCTGGGACGGCTATAGCGACGGAGCTGGTGTCGCCAGGGAGGTTTGGTCGTGGGGGCCCAGGGACTCTGTGGCTCGTGTGCTGACACCAGTGGAGCTGAAGCCCTGGACGCCGCCTTGGCTCTAGGCTGCAGATCAGAGAGGCTTAGACTGCTGCTGCTGCTGCTGCGTGGCTTCAGTCCTGTCCGACTCTGGGCGACCCTATGGGCTGCAGCCTGCCAGGCTCCATGTCCACGGAACAAACTCGGCCCAGACTGACCAACATTCTTGAATCTTGGCCCAGCCAAGAGATGGCGGGGAGGAGGCAACCACTGTTGCCTTTCTCATTTCTGCACTCTCCACCCCGCCCCACCCTCCAAACCTGCCCGGGCTCAGGACCCGGGCAGCTCCCTCTGCTCTGGGTGCGGCTGCAGGACCTTGGACCAGAGTCTCTGGTGCCCAGCAAGGCCCTGCTCTCCAGGTGCTGCCACTCAACCAGGAGCGCCTCATCGTCCCCTCATGCTTAAGGCAAGAGGGTGCAACCTGCATGTTAGGAAGAGACTTGACAACCACGTGGGTCAGGATTCACAAAATGGCCCCTTCCGAAATATGAGCCAACCTTTAACAACTGAAAGAAAAGCCTGTGCTGTGGGCCCCACTGCTCCCTCAGCATCCCAGTTATTGCAATTACATCATATTTAATATTTTTGGATGTTTTCACACTGCAAATTTTACATGAAACCAAGGGCCTCCTCTCTCTATCACCTCATTTTTCCTCTCCCATCTTAGTATCTGTGCCCTTCTGATGCATGCATATGTAGTGTTAATGAGGCACATTAATAGAGCTCATTTTGGAAGGGGGGATAGAGTGTACCAGGGATCAAGTCTGCATAAAGTAAGCAAAATGCAAAACTGGCTAACTGAAGTTCTGGCGGCTACTGCTTCCATATTCCCAGTACTGCTTTCATAGAGTAACTCTTACTGTATGTGAAAACAAGGGGAGGTGTCCATGAAATATTTCTTTGGGAAATTTGTGCCATAGAATTTGGAAATACGTGGGAACATTCCCTCTTTTCCCTTATGTGTTTCCTGTGGGTCCTTTTCCCTTTAAAACTCCACTAAGAGACCACTATGTAAACCCAGGAGAAGCATGTCGCCAAAACTTCAGGTTTTCTTCCTCAGTGAGCTTGCTTTGCCTTCATAAGAGAGCAGAGGCCCGGGCCTCCCGAGCCCCGGCCAGACGTGACTGTGAGCCCAGCCCCTGGCCTTAGGCTCCCAGCCCCGCTTTCCAGACCCGCCACCCCCACCGCACCAGGTCTGCAGCCCACATCCATCACTGCCCTCCCACAGGGGCACTGCAGGCAAGCAAATAATCAAACCTTCCTGATTTTTCTTCCTTCCTTTCTTAATTTTCTACTTTAAAAAAATATTCCCTTGATACAACTTACTCTGTTCTAAGAACAAATATTCAGTTTCTGTGCCTTGAGCTACCGAGTAGTCATCACCATCTCAGTAAATGGGCAAGTGCTTCAAATTAACACAGTAAGCCACTGGCTTGGAGCCATGGACCAGGGACCATCAGAGAGAAATTCTTCAAAACCAATCCCTCCATATAATATGAAAGCGGCAGAAAAAAATCCTTAGACATTAGAAATTGCTCAAAATAATATTCAGTGATACATCTGGTAGTTTCATAATGTTGCATATATGCAGTATCTCCAATAAATATATTGACAGTGACCAATTTTCTCAAACTTACCTTTCTAGGTCAGTGGAAATTTATTCAACTTCTTTTAATATATATATTTAAACAAACTCCTAAAGGTTGCAAACCTTTCCTCCATCTCCATCATAATGCACAACCTACTATGTTAGCAATGTTTTCAGGCTTCACTTCAAACAATTTCAGAAAGTTAAAATTTACAGCTGAAACTCTACACTGTTGTGAGTGTGAGTATGTGTGTGCTCAGTTGTGTCTGCCTCTTTGCGACCCCACAGAGCCTGCCAGGCTCCTCTGTCCATGGTATTTTCCAGGCAAGAATACTGAAGCAAGTTGTCATTTCCTACTCCAGGAGGTCTTCCTAAAACAGGGATGGACCCCACATCTCTTGTGTCTCCTGCATTGCTCTACCAAACACACAAAAACAACAGCAGGAGGATCAGGCACTTGGAATTTTAAATTGTCCCCCTCCCCATCAGTCTCAGCTAAACTAAACGTACATTTGTTGCTCATATGTTGCGCCCTGAGGTAAATCATTCCCTTACCCAGATGCCTGAACACTTGAAAATTCACTCCTTGCAGAAAGAGCTGATGCCTGGCTTAAATATTTTAAATAATTTAGCATACTTGGACCCCTTGTGTGCTTAGTCACTCAGCCGTGTCCAACTCTTTGTGACCCCATGGACTGTAGCCCACCAGGCTCCTCTGCCCGTGGGGATTCTCCAGGCAAGAATACTGGAGTGAGTTGCCCCTCAAGGGGTGGACCCCCTAATAACCCAGCAATTTGGTGCATTAACTTGAATAATTCCCAAGTCAGACTCAGTCCCAACATGAGTCCACAGAGAATCGCCCCCTAAAGGATATCAGTGTTAGAAGGAGTTTACTTTACTGAAGAGGTATATATTCTGGCCCCAAAGTCCCAGAAGTTCCAATCTTACTTCCCAAATATAGTGAAGGCTGCAAAAACAAATCAATGTGAGAATGTCCAGGACAAGGTATCCAGTTCCTGAAGTGGGTTTTAGAATGGCTGTTACACCGAAGTGCTTTTTTCCACTTTACTCACCTGTATTGTATCTTGAGTCACTCCCATGCGTCTTGCAAGCTCCTGTCTGAGGGGGAATAATTACAAATATTCAGCATTTGACATTATGCATGAAGTGAAATATATGTTGTACATTTCTCACTATTTAAAATATTTATTCAGAGTAGCCAAGATAACAGCATAAGAAAACTCTGAGCTTACTTCCTCCTTTGGGCACACCAAAATTATAACTATATACAGAGAAGCTATTGATGAGAATGACCTGAAAGATGAGCATACAAGACCTTACACAGCTACAGATATAAATAAAGAAACACGATAAGATGGACAGGAAGGGTGGAGAAGGGGCATAGTCAAGACTCACACCCACAGGTCAGCAACCCATATGTGCTGTGCTTAGTCGCTCAGCCGTGTCCCACTCTTTGTGACGCCATGGACTATAGCCCACCAGGCTCCTCTGTCCATGGGGATTCTCCAGGCAAGAAAATTGGAGTGGATTGCCAAGCCCTCCTCCAAGGGATCTTCCCAACCCAGGAGTCGAACCCAGGTCTCCTGCACTGCAGGTGGATTCTTAACCATCTGAGCCACCAGGCAACCCATATACAGGCTGATAATTATAACTGAAGAGATTCACCATAAGAAGCAAGGGGTCTGAGCACAGTAGATTTCCTAGCCTGGGGTCCTGAGCTGGGAAGATAAGCTCTCAGAACATTTTGCTTTGAAGGCCAGCAGGGCTTCCTTTCAGGAGACCCCGGGGCTGTGAGAAATTGAGACTCCACTCTGAAAGGGTGAACCCAAAATCTCACATGCTCCAGGACCCAGGGCAGAAGCAGTGATTTGAAAGGAGCCTCGGTCAGACCTGCCTGTTGATCTGGAGAATCTCCTGAAGAGGCAGGAAACAACTACAGCTCACCCTGGGCACACATACGCTGGAAGCAGCCATTTTAAGGTGCTCGTTGGACCGTGAGGATTCTGTGGCTGGCAAGGGCTATTTTGAAATTCTCCCTCTAGATTATTAGTACTGTGACCCAGCCCTCCCACCAGTCTATTGGCACTAATCCCAGCACACCCCAAACCAAGCAGTTAGCTGGGCAGGGACACAGCCTCACTCACCAACAATTCAGTTGCCATAGGACCTCCTGAGTTACCAGTCACACAAGAACCAGACTTGCCCACCAGAGGCCCCAAGACTCAGCCCCAATCACCAGTGGGCCAGCAGCCTATGAACTAGGCAATGCCTGGTAACCAACAGACCTGGGGTCCACCCACGGTAGTTAGCCCACCACAATAGAAGGGTTCATGCAGCCCATACAGAAAGCACCCCTGGAGCAAATAGTTCTGATGACCAGAGGAAGTGACACAGTATATTTAATGTGATCAAAGGAAAAAAATTTACAACAAAGAATACTCTACCTGGAAAAGCTATCATTCAGAGTTGAAGAAAAGATAAAGACCTTTACAGACAAGCAAAAGCTAAGTGTTCTACACCACAAAACATGCTTTAAAAGAAATGCTAAAGGAACTTTTCTAAGCAAAAAAGAAAAGGCTATTAACACAAATAAGAAAAGAATAAAAAGTAAAGTTATAAGCTTTCACACAGCAAAGAAAGCCATAAAGAAAATGAAAGTCCATAGGTTTACGAAACAGAAGAAAGTATTCGCAAATGATGCAATCAACATGAGCTTAATTTTCAAAATATGCAAACAGCTCATACAACTCAACAACAACAAAAAACAACCCAATCAAAAAATGAGAAGACCTAAATAGACATTTCTCCAAAGAAGACATATGTGCATGTGTGTGCACACATGTGCTCTATCGTGTCCAACTCGTTGTGAATGTATGGGACTGTAGCCTGTCAGGCTTCTCTGTGCATGGAATTTCAAGCCAAGAATCCATGGGGGTCACAAAGAGTTGAACACAAATGTGCACACACACACATGTCTTCTTTGGAGAAATCTCTGTTTTGGTCTTCTGCCCATTTTTTGATTGGGTTGGGTTTTTATTGCTGTTGTTATTAAGTTGTATGAGCTATTTCTGTATTTTGGCAATTAAGCCTAGACATTTCTTCAAAGAAGACATATAGATGGCCATCAGGCACATGAAAAGATTCTCAACACTGCTCATCCCACATCCGGGCATATATCTAGAAAAGAGTAAAACTCTAATTAGAAAAGATACACATACACCAATGTTCATAGTGGCACTGTTTACATTAGCTAAAACATGGAAGCACTCTAAGTGTTCATCAACAGATGACTGGATAAAGATGTGGTATGTATATACAATGGAATATTACTCAGCCATAAAAAGAATGAAATTCTCCCATTTGTAACCATGTGGATGGACGTGGATAGTATTAGGCTAAGTGAATTAATTCCAACAAAGACAAACATTATAAGATATCACTTACATGCAGAATCAAAAAAAAAGTACAAATGAACTTTTTTACAAAACAGAAATAGATTTGCAGACGTAGAAAACAAATTTATGGTTACAGAGGAGGGGGAATAAATTGGGAGTATGGGATTAACAGATGCACACTACCATATATAAAATAGATAAACAACAAAGATTTACTGTATAGCACAGGGAAGATTATTCAGTATCTTATAATAAACTGTAATGGAAAAGAATCTGAAAAAGAATACATATACATACATATGTATATATAAGTGTAATCAAATACACTGTCTATATAAACCTTATGGTAACCACAAACCAAAACTCCATAATGGATACACATACAACAAAAGAGAAAGGAATCCAAACATAAGACTAAAGAAAGCCATCAAATCACCAGGGAAGAGAGCAAAGAGGAAGAAAAGAACAAAAAGAAAAGAATTAACAAAATGGCAGTAAATACATACCTACCAATAATTACTTTAAATATAAATGGAATAAATGCTTCAATTAAAAGGCACAAAGTGGCTGACTGGACACAGAAACAAATCCCACATACACACTGCCTACAGGAGTCTCCCTTCAGATCTAAATACTCAGACAAAAAGTGAGAGGATGGAAAAAGGTATCCAATGCAAATTTAAATCAAAAGAAAGCTGGGGTAGCAATACTTGTATGAGATAAACTAGTCTTTCAAACAGAGACCATAACAAGAGACAAAGAAAGACATTACATAATGAACATAGAATCAACTCAAGAAGATGTAACAACTATAAATATATAGGCACCCAACATAAGAGCACCTAAAATACATACAGTACATACTAACCAACATAAGGGAGAAACTGACAGTAAGCATGAAATTCAAGACTTTGACACCCCACTTACATCAACAGACAGATCATCCATACAGAAAATCAATAAGGAAACACTGATCTCAAATGACATATTAGACTTAATGGACTGATTGAGCATCCCATCCAAAGGCAGCAGAATACACGCTGACATTTTAGGAATGTAGACATTTTAGAAATCAGTGAACTAAGGTGGACTGGAATGGGTGAATTTAGCTTGGATGACCATTATATCTACTACGGTGGGCAGGAATCCCTTAGAAGAAATGGAGTAGCCATCATAGTCAACAAAGGAGTCCGAAATGAAGTACTTGGATGAAATCTCAAAAACAACAGAATGATCTCTGTTCATTTCCAAGGCAAACCATTCAATATCACAGTAATTCAGGTCTATGCCCCGACCAGTAATGCTGAAGAAGCAGAAGTTGAGCAGTTCTATGAAGACCTACAAGACCTTCTAGAACTAACACTCAAGAAAAGATCTCCTTTTCATTATAGGGGACTGGAATGCAAAAGTAGAAAGTCAAGAGATACCTGGAGTAACAGGCAAATTTGGCTTTGGAGTACAGAATGAAGCAGGGCAAAGGCTAACAGAGTTTTGCCAAGAGAATGCACTGGTCATAGCAAACACCCTCTTCCAACAACACAACAGAAGACTCTACACATGGACATCACCAGATGGTCAATACTGAAATCAGATTGATTATATTCTTTGCAGCCAAAGGCAGAGGAGTTCTATACAGTCAGCAAAAACAAGACTGGGAGCTGACTGTGGCACATACCATGAACTCCTTATTGGCAAATTCAGACTTAAATTGAAGAAAGTAGGGAAAACCACTACACCATTCAGATTTATGACCTAAATTAAATCCCTTATGATTATACAGTGGAAATGACAAATAGATTCAAGGGATTAGATCTGATAGAGTGCCTGAAGAACTATCAGAGGTTCATGACATTGTACAGGAGACAGGAATCAAGACCATCCCCAAGAAAAAGAAATGCAAAAAGGCAAAATGGTTGTCTGAGGAGGCCTTACAAACAGCTATGAAAAGAAGAGAAGGGAAAGGCAAAGGAGAAAAGGAGAGATATACCCATTTGAATGCAGAGTTCCAAAGAATAGCAAGGAGAGATAAGAAAGACTTCCTCAGCAATCAATGCAAATAAATAGAGGAAAACAATAGAATGGGAAAGACTAGAGATCTTTTCAAGAAAATTAGAGATACCAAGGAAACATTTCATGAAAAGATGGGCTCAATAAAGGACGGAAATGGTATGGACCTAACAGAAGCAGAAGATATTAAAAAGAGGTGGCAAGAATACACAGAAGAACTATATAAAAGAAGTTCTTCATAACCCAGAAAACCACGATGGTGTGATCACTCACCTGGACCCAGACATCCTGGAATGTGAAGTCAAGTGGGCCTTAGGAAGCATCACTACAAAGCTAGTGGAGGTGATGGAATTCCAGTTGAGCTATTTCAAATCCTGAAAGATGATGCTGTGAAAGTGCTGCCCTCAATGTGCCAGCAAATTTGGAAAACAGCAGTGGCCACAGGACTGGAAAAGGTCAGTTTTCATTCCAAACCCAAAAAAGGCAATGCCAAAGAATGCTCAAACTATCACACAACTGCACTCATCTCACACGCTAGTAAAGTAATGCTCAAAATTCTCCAAGCCAGGCTTCAACAGTACATGAACCATGAACTTCTAGATGTTCAAGCTGGATTTAGAAAAGGCAGAGGAACCAGAGCTCAAATAGCCAACATCCGTTGGATCATCAAAAAAGCAAGAGAGTTCCAGAAAAACA